TGGAAGCTGAGGTTGGAGACCAGACGTCCACAGGACCCGGACAGAATCAGTGCACGTGGGAGCCTGAGGAGAAGATTGTATCACCAGCAGAAATCAGTGGACCTTGTGGTGATCCGTGCAAGGTTGGAGGCTGAGGCTGGGGATCAAACGTCTACAGAATCAGGGCACGTGGGAGCCAGAGAAGAAAGGCTGTGACCAGCGGAGACCAGCGGACTTTGTGTGGATACAACCGCAAAGATCGCGGATTGGTGCTTCACGGGGCGGTCAGTGGAAGCGGTGGAAGCAAGAGGAGAGTCCAGGAGTGAATTCCAGGAGAAGACGGGACGCTGTGGAGCCCAGCAGTGTTGTATGGACGCTTTCCGGAGATTGACGACTCGAGGAGGAGTGAGCAGCGGGACTGTCTTAAAGGATTCATGTACTGAACTGTAGGAACTATCATATGATTGAGGACAGTGGCAGGGAGAGAGCAGACTGAAGCAGCTGGTAACAGTTGGTGTATTTCGTTGTTCTGTTGGCCTGTTGCGAGTTTCTAGAACTTAGTAGAAGTCTGTATCTCCTAGAAGTGTATTTTCTAGAAGTCTTGTGTTGTTTTGTGAGGTTACTCTGCTTAGGAATGTGCTTTTGATGGATGTGGTCAGGAGTTGTTGACAGATAGCTACCGCTAGGGCTAGTCCAGTATTGCACTCTAGAGTAGGGTTTCACCGATCACATCTGGTCCCACTTTTATCAGAGACAGAGACTTTTATCAGGGATAGTGCATTGATTGCAGGGACCGTTCATTGACTGTGGCTAGGGGGTGGTGTACCTGTGTCAGCCATGGATAAGCTAATCGAACAAGGCAAGGAGATGGGCTTGGAGGGGGAAAACCTCCTGAAGTTTGTGATGGCCCAGCAGGCTATAGAAAGAGATGAATGGGCCAAGGAAAGAGAGGCTCAGAGGGAGAATGAGGCTAAGGAGAAAGAGGCTCAAAGAAGACATGAGCTGGAGATGGAAGATGGAAACGGCAGGCGGAAATCGAGTACCATAAGGCCAAGAAAGAAGGTGCAGGAGACGTCAAGGCTAAGACGCCGAGACTACCAAGCTTTACGGAAGGCGAAGAAATAGATGGGTACCTCTTGAGGTTTGAGAGGTTTGCCCGTGCCAACCACTGGGCGGAAGACACGTGGGCGTCTCTACTGAGTGCCCTACTCACGGGGAGGGCACTGGATGTGTACAGCAGGCTATCTGATGACGATGCCCAGGATTACGATAAGGTGAAGGAAGCCATTCTTAAGAGGTATGAACTTACCGAAGACGGTTTCAAGAAAAAGTTCAGGTCTGAAGTTCCCCAGGAGGGGGAAGGGCCGGACCAGTACATTGTACGCCTCAGCAGTTACCTGAACAGGTGGATCGAGCTGTCCAAAACTCCCAAGACGTATGACGGAATCTGCGACCTGATTGTTCAGGAACAATTCCTCGATCTGTGCCCCTTAGAGCTGTCGATCCACCTACGAGAGAGGAAACCAAAGTCCTTGGAGGAGTTAGGGAGGATGAGCGACCAGTATCTGACGGCTCACGAGACGAGCCTGGCTGAAGGTGTCCGTCCACGCAACTCATCAAGATCTGAGGGCGAGCCTGACCGGAAGAGCGGTCAAGGTGGCTCCGGGGAGCCTGGGGGAGGCTTCCGTAAGACCTGTTACCACTGTCGTGAAACAGGGCACGTGAAAGCTGATTGCCCTAGTTTGGGGAAAAGGTTCTCCAAGAAGAATGTGGTGGCACAGAGTATGTTCGCGCAGGGAGCAGACAAGCCCTGGGACGCGGATGGAAACTTGGCGGAAGATAGCAAGTACCGCAGCAGCGGAGCTGTGAACGGCCAGCAAGTACAGGTGTACAGGGACACTGGGAGCTCCAGGACCTTTGTCAACAAGACGTTGGTGCCGAGGAAGGCATACACAGAAGATGCCATTAAAGTCAGACTGGCCAATGGGGCTGTTGACAGCGTTCCTACGGCCAGAGTTGAGCTGGAAGTAGATGGTAACGCGAGAGAGGTAGAAGTATGGGTGATGAACACACCCTACCCGGTGTTGCTAGGCAACGACTACGGGGCGGCCTGCGTCGGAAGTAGGGCAGGTCCGGTAACAACTCGGGAGATCAAGAGTGAGTTGGGGGAGGACAAGAGGTGCCTTGGGCGTGGTGAGAAGATGGAGTCGGCAGTGCCACGATATCAGATTCCAGCGAGACGCCAGCAAGGTGGCCAAGTCGGGTATCTTCCGAAAGCAGAAGTGAAGAGCGAGAGTAACACAGTAAAACAGAGGATACAGAAGCTCATGGAGGAGGATCCGGTTTACCGGAGGGGTCGGCTGCGTTGGTTGCAGAGGCAGCACCAACTAAAGAAGGCAGCAGGAAAGCGCACCAAGCAGGAGTATGGTGTGAAATAAGTTTCAGAGCATGCCATGGCTGACCAGGTGAAGTACCGGAGTAGAAGTGTATTGTAACAGAGTAGTTTTTTAAGGTAGCTGATTCCCCTGTTAGTAGTAGTAGTAGTTAGCATGTTGTCAGTTGATGAAACTATATTACACATGTTTATCATCTTGGGGGAGGTGTTACATGCTAGAGAAAATTGCCAGTACATGTGTAGGTCTATACCCTCCCCTGATAAGTAACGGTTAAGCCCGAAATGGAATATCGAGGTCAGGAAGGCATTCCAGGGGAGCATAGGGGAGCATTCTGAGAAGGGAGCCCGGGAGCAAGGGTGTGGAAAATAAAGGCTGTGGAACTTTGACTTTGGTGTGTGTCCAACTGTTCTTGGAGATTTAAGAGGAACCTGTAACAGATACATCCTTTTTAATTGTAAAACACAAAAAGGCATTATCTTACACTGTGTTGCTACAATCATCTGACAAAGACAATCCGCAGGTACACACCTGTTCAACAAGGACCTGGAGAATTTCAGTCAGGTCCTCAAGCATACAGTTCTTAGCCAGCAGGTGAAGGGTGGTGTCCTTGTCCTCAGTGGCACTGGATGCTGAAATAGTTCCTCCTCGCTTCACCAGCAGACGGACTAAACCCACATTGAACTGTAAAATCAGTTTCAAAACCATAAACTTTGGCTAATTTTCAAAGAATGATTGGCGTTGGAATATATTGAAATATGGCACAAAACATAAAGTGGACTTGCAACAAAGCAAAAAAAATAGTAATATTAATATATATATATAGTGTAATCTGTGAGACACTAACTTGTTCAATAGCCAACATGATTGGTGTCATTCCACTAGCTGTGGTGAGGGATGGGTCTGCAGCTTTGTCCAATAGAATGTTGGCAATCTCCAGGCTCATGTCTGCCTTGTTCTTGTCAGCTTCTACACTAGTGTGACCCCAGCCTGAGGTCTGCTTGATGGGATTCTGGGCCAGGTAGTGCAGCTGGGTAGGGAAACATTTAATAAGTATGAAAAATATCAGGTAAAAAAACAGCAGGTTAGATATTTCCAATGATGAGCATTTACTACATCAATACAACCCCAGAAAGTATGGAAAATATGAACATGTTAAAGATTCATTCAAATATCTCAAATGATTACTCTACAGCCTGCTCTTCAATTTCTATACAAGATGAAAACACCCACAGCCACCTGTTAGCATAAATACATGTAAAGAGACACTTGATTATGTATTGCAGGAGCTGTAAGTGTAACCCTACCGGTGTCCACCCCTCCAGATCAGGTATGGTGATGTCAGCGTTCCTCTTGATCAGGTAGCATATCTGCTGGGGCAGGCCAGTAGATAGGGGACTGGCCGCCAGCATTGCCACCATTGTCAAACCTAATGCAATCAGAGAAGGTTACATTAAAACAAGCAGGTCAATAAACACTTAAGTTACTGAGCTTACATTGGAAAAGTGTCCAATATGAAACTCTAACCAACCTTTTTCGTCTTTGAAGTTGACATCAGCCAGTGGCTGGCCATCTGGACCCTTCAGGTCCAACAGCAGGTCAGCACAATCTGCATTTCCCTTCAGCACTGCAATACCCACAGGTGTTACCTGGGGGACGAGCCATGGCATGTTTACTGGGATAATTTGGGAAATTGTGCTCTAACAGGTTCAGACCTATAAGCATGGTGACAACTGGGTTGCGTTCACATAATCTTGCTCACCTTCCAGTCATTGGGCTTGTTGGGATCAGCTCCAACTTTCAGCAGCAGCTTCAGGCAGTGCCACCAGCCATAGCCAGCAGCGTAGTGAGCCACACTGTTCCCAGAGGTGTCCATACTGTTGGGGTCAGCTCCCATCCGCAGCAGGAAGGCCAGGACAGGGTAGTGACCATTCATGGCTGCATGGGTCAGCGCTGTACGCTTCAGCTTGTCTAGAATCAGTCAACCAAAACACTTCAGCTCAGTTCTACTGCTTTTTATTTGTTAGAGCACAGTTCTATTGCCTCTTATACACTAGCTTGTTAATCATGTATTTATCTGATGATACAGAAAAAACATAGAGTACACTTTGAAGTTCATTGTGTTGCCATTGCAGTCATTACCTCTTTTCTCCAAGGTTGCTCCTATCTCTGTCAGCACCTTCACTGTCCCCAGGTGTCCCTGGGCTGATGCCAGCATCAGGGCTGTCATCTTGTTCTTGCCTGCACTCAGGGGTTGGTCCAGGTTTGCACCATGCTTATGAAGAATTTTCACTACATTCTGAAGAAACATAAGCATCATGGTTACTTGCCATTAGCTGACCTTTTTTTTTCAATCTAAAGCTTCAGCAAGTCTGTCATAGTGGGAGACAGCTAAGAGCTATGGTTGTTTTGCTTTCCACATGGTAAAGGGATGTTTGACTCACCCCGTATCCACCCTTTGCTGCCAGGTGGATGGCTGCAAAGCTCTGCCTGTTGGCTCGCTGTATGAGGCTGATGTAGGCTGCTTTTGCATCTGGATCCTCTCCAGCTGTTCATGACATTTACAAGATCAACAACAATCATCAATAAAACGACTCATACTTGCTGCAATACACAGTATAAACTCTGAAAATGATACTATTCACTAGTACAAGATAATTCATTAGCATTATTATTTATATTAAGATCATGGAGAATGTGTACAGCATAATTGTTACCTCCATCATGTATGTAAAAAGTTCAATGTATTCTCAGTCAACTCAGACACTTTAACCTTAAACACCTACCGTCTTTAGCCTGTGCTTTCAGTTTCTTTAGGATCAGATCAACATTGTTTGCACGTCCATTCTCTGCTGCAATCATCAGGGCTGTGTTTGCTTGGTTATCTCCATCCTCTGCAGACATTCCCCTGCAACAGGAGGGACAGCATTTTAAAATACATTGAATCTGAATATTGCAAAGAGTATCTGTCTTGTTTTTCTCATCACTGACTCAATATCTTGTCATAATTTGTTCAGTAAATTGACTTGTGATCAGTAAAAAGGGAATGGGGAATAAGACTTGCTTTACAGTAATTGTCAGTACCTTGATAAGAGGAATTCCAGAGGTCCAGAACCCTCACATGCAGCAGCATAGTGAATAGGTTTCCTTCCAGTCCTGTCTGTCAAACCAAACTCAGGACATACAGCCAACAGCTTCTGGAGGTACTTGGGGTTTGGGTTGATGGCTGCACAGTGCAGCGGTGTGATCTATGAAAGAGGAGGATAGCATAGCAAGAATTTTACAACAATGGAGCAGTCTGCTTAAAGAAACTTTCACAACTATGTAAATCAAAGACCACATTGTTCTTATCATTAGCCCAAAGTAACATTGACTCCCAAAGGAGGAACTTTGCCTTGGCTGACTCTACTTCAGTTGCTAGTCTTGGTAATGTGTGGTCCAGGTGTTTCATGAGGTTGTTTATCCCATACTTATTACCACATCATCATTATTTTAGACAGCACAAGACAAATTTGTGGACATTGTCTTACCACTTGGTTTCCATATGGTTTCTTTTTCACAGACACAGCCCTGAAGGTGGTCAATTCCTGTTTGTCAAACAGCAGGACCTATAGCAAAGAAATATACTTTAATTTGTTATAATTTCAACCCATATATATTTCATCCTTGAAGAATGCAAGGGACGATTCTATACACATGGAAAAAAATTGTAATCATTTACCTCCTTATGTAGCTGGTTGAAGCCATAACCACCTCCCTTTTCTGCCATCTCTATCAGCTTCCCTGCCAGCTTCCTGTGTCCTGCCCGGACCGCTAGATAGATGTTGTCAAACAGTTGATTCTGCCAGAGACAGGGGACATTAGTCTGCTACCTGAACATACTGTATACATATCAATGTACTTAGTATTTAAAAGACTCTGAGAAAAAATGCACAAACAAATGGTTCAAATTCATAATAACAAATTTCTTCTAGTGGTGATATTTCTTCAACATCAAAATATCTACCAGTACTTTCTGCTTTATTAAACATGAAATGACACATGCTGGTATTTATGATCTACACAAAAATAACAAGTGTAGGCGACAATTCTCCATGAAGTTTAATATTTTGCAGATTGAGATCAGTAATAGTATATGTAAACAGTGTGTGATCACTTAACAACTGGTAACAACGTATCATAAAAATGTGAATAAAATAAATAAAAATGGCTAAATCCCTGGTCTAATAATCTAGCCTGACTAAAAAATTGCGCTACTGGTGGCCACCTGCCCAGAAGTTTGCCGCCCCCCTTGGGTAAACAGTTGCAGACTGACTAGTGTAAACACAGGCTACATAAAATCAACAACACGACAATCTAAATAGATGAATAAAGTCAGCTTTCATATCAATATCTTTCATTTACTACATATTATTCATTTGACAAGGTATCGCAGTAGGTGCAAACCACAATACCAAAAGATATTCGCAACCATTATGCACAACAGCCACCTAATATCTGCTTAGAGAACCTCGGCTACCAGACAACTACCTAAACCTACGGCGTATTCGACAGGATTGTAAAAGTAGGGATGTTTCTAAAATATGCATTTACTTCAATATCAAAACTGCTACGGTGAAAATAAAAAGACGTGCATCATCATGAACATAAGGGTCCCCAACTACACAGAAATGCTACGTACAGAACAATGCGTTTTGGATGTGAACATCCTCCAAAAACCTGAAGCATATCTTAAGCACGGGGAAAAAACATCTGGTACCACTTATCGACCCCTCCGAACATCTGCTTGAAGTTTTTACTCCCCCCGCTATTCCAAACAACGGGTTTTCTGGACCATTCCAATTGGCCTCAAAATTGTTGGGGTGCATTTGAAATATTACATTGACAGAGAAAGCAGCAACGGCAAAAATACACATTCGTGCATCATCACGGGCATGCCCGCAGACGGCGTATAAAATTGCATGCCAATTACACAAAGAGAACCCAGTGTTTTGACTGCGAACACGAAAAAACGGCTGTTCACAACACTCCGTCTGGAGGTCCTGACCTCCTTCACGGAGTAATAAATCTATACCGAGTAACCAGGGGAGTGACACTTTATGTACTACTGTACCTTGAAGTTTGGTATCACAGCAATACAGATGTCTAGAACATCTTTTGGTGCTCCTGTCTGCAAAACTTCTTTTCCATAGGTTTCAGTATAATCGTCCAGACCATCATCAATGTCCTGTTGTAATAAATGATATGTTATATGGTATAGTCACAGGAATTAATAGGCCTGCTAAAAGAAATGCTGTAGCAGGGGCAGTCATTTAGTCTGGGATACATTGTTTGATAAATAAGCAGAAATGAGACCAGCCATTATAATAGTTTCAAGTTAAAACTTAAACGATCAAGTTAAAATCAACATACCTTTGTAAAAGCATTGTTCCCTTCCTTACTCCCCCTGCTCATTGAAATGTTCCGTACAGCATGGCCCAGGGGAGTACCAGTTATATCTGTGGCAAGTCAGATATGAGGCTCAACATTATATATACATTCATTGTCAGAAACAAACTGCACATCTAAGTTGTACACTCCAAGTTCAAGGTACCATACAAAAGCAACAGAAATGTTATATAGGGGGCTAGTTCTCATGTGTTCTCATGTACTGTAGCTGTGTGGGTAGGTTCTTATGTGTTTAAAAAATGATTCTGTAGCAATGGCTATGTGCTGTTACTAATCTCTTCCTCAGCAGTTTAATTTGTGCATGGTACCTGCCAGTTCCCTGGTGCTTGAGAAGGCTGTATGGTCTGCTGCAACGAGGGTTGCTGCTGTGCTTCTTCATGTGGTCTCCAAACAACTTGATGGCATCCTTATTCCTGTTGCGGATGGCATACATTACCGCATCTATAGGTACGTCAACAGATCTCTGTGCATCATATACCTGTAAAATTCAACAAAGATGTATGCAAAAAAAAGGCAGATGACTGTGTCTCAAAAAAAGCAGATAACAAACAGACATACAAACATAACTGTTGTAAAACTATGTAAATACAGTGCATACTACCGATGGACCTTGTAAAACAAATGATGTCTTACTGTTGGAATGTTTGTTGTGTCTGCAATAAGAGATCGCAGCAGTTTCATGTCATTGAGAAGGACAGCTCGGATGCTCTGCTTCTGGGGTAGCAGGTGGGATGGTGTGGACCTGCAGAGGAGAAAAGAACATTGCAGAATATAAACCTAAACCATTTAGCTAATTGCCCAAATTTTTGCATGACTAACTGAATTCAGACCAAATGCAGCATGAACTGTGGTACATAAACATACATGCACCACTTGATGAAGACAATCCACACATACATGTGTAAGTTGGGATGAGTTATGAGTTATGTATCACTAACCTCTCCTCGAATGAGGGGTCCTTTTCTGGCACTTTCATGTCTGCCCTGGGGGTCAACTTTTTATCAGGACCAAACAGAGGTCCTCCCTTACCAAGCTTCTTCAACAATTCCTCTTTTATCATAGTGGCAGTCTGTTTTGCAGGAGCTTTGCTGGCTTTTCCTGAAGGAATAAAACATTCAATGATAAGGACAAAAACTCAGCTTTACTCACATCATCACCAAAGTATCACTGAACTAATAAGATGAATCATACCTTTCTTGGGAGCACTTTTGCCTTTCTTGGTAACTTTAGCTATGGCCTTCTTCACAGCTGCCCTGCCCCTTTTCACAGCAGGCGGTACCACTTTCTTTGCTCTTGTCCGGATGGGTGCTTTAGTTTTCTTCGCCTTCAACTTGGCCTTGGCCCGTGTCTTTTTTGGAGTAACAGTCTCATCTTTTTCCTCTGTTGTGAACCAAAAAAAAAACATTTATTTCACAAGTCATAGGCCCTAATGTCAGACTTGCCATAATATGTACAAATGTATCTTGGCTATACATTTTTTCACGCATTTGAGATCGTAAATTACCGGTACTTTACAGCATGAGACTTACAACATAAACTATTATACTAAATATATTTGGTAAAACAGCTAGAATTTCACTTCATGTACTTATATATATATATATATTGAGTTTATTGACTTCGTTCACAATTCAGTAAAATACATGGCAGCTTCATTTGTGTACAAAGATGCTGAATTGCGCATTTTACATGATTAACATGATAACAAATCAATATCTATATTACAAGATCAACATGATAACAAATTAAAAACTAGTAAACAATGACATTAAGATGAAACATTATAAGAAATTGAAAAGGTTCTTAATAAGCTGTAATAATTGATGTAATAATTGACACTTGGAGATTTTAACAGGTATATTTGTTCAAGAGGTAAGTGAAGTACGGAATAGGGCTGTTTTTGTAGCGGTTTGTTTTTGCCAGAGGGATGCAGAGTTGCTGGGAACTTTTAAGGTTTTTAGCATGGACTTCCGAACGGGTTGGAGATAACCAGCCTCTAAATGTGGGGGAACTTAGCAAGGATTTAGCAAACTTTAGACTAAGGGTTTCTCTCCTGTTTTCCAAGGAGGGCAAACATAGGTGAGTTAGGGCTTAATCGTAATGGGTATATTGGGCGCCAAGGATAATTCTAAGGGCACGTTTCTGTATTCGCTCGATCTTCATGGATTGTTGCGTCGTGATGCTGGGACTCCAAACGGGGGCAGCGTACTCTAATGTGGGGCGAATATAACCTTTATAAAAAGCAAGGAGGTCTAAAATAGGGAGTCCGAACCGTTTTAATTTTTTTAGCCAAAAAAGTCTTGAACTTGCCTTGGAAATAATGACCTGAACATGTTTATCCCACCCCAAATCACGAGATAACCATAAGCCGAGTATACATGCACTCTCTGTGTATTCAAGGGGGATATCATTAAGTGAAATAACGGTGCAATCTCTCATAAATGAAATCATTAGTAACTTACACTTATCGCCGTTTAGGATCATATCGTTTTCTAACGCCCAACTATTCAACTGGTCGAGTGATGTTTGTATTACACTGGGCTCATAAAACATTCTACTTTCGCATACTGACAAATCGTCAACGAATTTATAGCGGTCTAAAACATCTTCTTCAAGGGCGTCATTAATGTAGATGAGAAAGAGGATTGGTCCTAATTTTGTGCCTTGGGGGACTCCGGATGAAATTTCCTTCCAACTTGATGTAATATTGTGGTTTAATATTCCCACCTTCTTTAACATCCAAGACTTCATCTTCATCATCCTCAGCGATGCCTGTGATAGCCCGCCGCAGGATCTTCTGTGTCTTAAGGATCTCTGCCTGTAAGAAAATGAATATCACAAAATCAATAAATGTTGAAATACTGTCCGCATGAAGATTAAAAAAAACTTTATTAACAGAACATATATATGACACAAGAAATGAATCCAGTAAGAGGAAGGCCAGTTCACCTGTGGTAGGACATATTTGTCCTTTTCCATACGCTGAAGTTTGACATGAGTAATGATGGACTCCAGCTCAATGTTGTCATAGTAAGACTTCCGGTAGATGTTTGGTGCATCTTCTACCTCCAGCCATCGGACCTTGAAGGTCTTGGAGGTGTTGTAAATGTTTTGGGATGCCTCACAAAGGTAAAAGGAGCCTATAAAACATAGAAATTAATAGTTATTAAGTTATTACGTACATTGTACTAGATATTGAGTGCATTCACTTAAATAAAGAACAACAACAATAATGTAATGACTATAAGTTTCCCCTTTTTTATTAGAAAACTGTGAGAGACATGAAAGGTAGGTCTTGGCTCACATTAAGTTTTTCTTCAAATATTCCTTAATTATCATTGTAGTATCAAAGTTGTAATCTCAACTGCTTTATTATGCATGTACATCATTAGACCACATATCTGTGAACATTTGTTTCAGCCTTTCTTTAACTTAGTTATAAGAGCTTCTCACTTGAAATCCACATGACATATCTCACCTTCATCATTCCTAACAGCAATGTACTCCCCCCTATAGAAGTACAATATCTTATTTATTGCACCAGTGGAGGCCCCGGAAGTAGATGGCTGAGCAGCCTCCTCCTCTTTGATACCCAGGGTGTAAAAGGGCTCCACTTTTGGTGGGTTAGTCCTCAGACGCTTTGCTGGACCATCATTGGAGGAATCTGCGACACCTCGCTTCTGTGTCTAAAATAAAAGTGAATGGACAAAACATCTCAGCTTTTTCATCAGTAATGTTCACTGCAATCAAGTGATACAGGTAAGGAGGTTCCACTTAAACCTTCTTGCTACAGGTGAGT